CCGAAGGCAGACGCTTAACGACTGAGCCACCCAGGCGCCCCTTGTCTAACTCTTACTAAAACTCTAAAATTGAGTTCAGAGTGGTAAAAAACTGATAAGCAACACATCTAAAATATCCCATGCACTGGCATCTTATACCCACTTTTTTTCATCTTGAAACACTCAAAGTACTTTTTAGCAAACCTTAAAAAAAATCTCAAAAACTTTAAAAAGGATTTTATTTGACCTTAAATATTTTCCTATATTAGAGACAAAAGTAGATAACATTAGCAAAAGGAATCTATTCTTAATTATTAAAAACGAAACTATTACAACTGCAAATAGTAAAACTATCATAATAGTATAGTCAAAAGAGGCCAAGAAAACGTATGTACACAAGGGATTGCTAATAGGATGCGACTATAACAAAATGTCAGACCACAAATTACTAAGATTGCTTCCAGAATAAAAAAGACTGAACTATTCAAGAAATAAAATCACTTATAAAGCAAAATTCTCTTCAAAAGTCAGAGTTGTCAAGAGAACATCTGATTCTGAAGCTCTTCCATCTTTATTTTTTAAACTTTAAAAATTTTATTTGGAATATAAGAAACTGTCAACAGCTCTCATTTTAACGTAATTATGAAAAGAAATTTTTAAACGCAAAATTTCAGTTATCTTCAAATGATCTCACAAGATCATCTATTCACACAAAACTCTTAAGATTCATTCTGCAGAGATTCTTTTTTTTTAAAGATTGTATTTATTTATTCATGAGAGACAGAGAGAGGCAGAGGGAGAAGCAGGCTCCCCACTGAGCAGGGAGCCCGATGCGGGACTCGATCCCAGGATCCTGGGATCATGACCTGAGCCGAAGGCAGACGCTTAACCATCTGAGCCACCCAGGCGCCCCATTCTGTGGAGATTCTATACAGCTCCTAGAAACTTACACTACCCAAAGAATCACATCTGCTGATTCTCTACAGACATTATGAAATCATATACCCAATAGTGAGAATACTGATTATTCTTCTTTAAAATTTTCTGAATTTTTCAAACCACTACCAACACCACCAAAAAGTCATCAAGACAACCAACAAAAAGGTAACTTACTTTTAGTTGATTTATGCTTTTCTAATAAAAAAAAGTTCTAAATAAAAATTATATAAAAGCCAATTATGACATACTTATTAATGAAATTATACTGAGATAATAAGACTGATTAAGTTGCTTTTACATTCAAACCCTTATATTAAAAGACAGATTAATTCAAAGCACGGTGCTAGCAAAAAAAAAAAAAGTCAAATGTTCCTTAAGTCTACTATGACAGAAGAGCTGTTTAATAAGACTGATTAAATCTTGAGCCATAATCTTAAACATCACTCCAGAGCCATACTAAAAAACAAAACAAAAACAAGGCATTTACTATAAAATTTTTCTGCATTAAAGAACTACAGTTGATCCAAGTAGACTACTATAGTCCTTCCTATTACAGTTAACTGGTATATCCATGATTAAGTACACATACTTTATTAACACATTCCTTATAGATGAAGTAGCCAAAATGATTTCCTTGACACTAAAAAATCCACTAAAAGCTAATGGATTAAAAAAAATGTTTCTGGTATGAGAATAATGTAAAGCATTTCTTAACCAGTATGCTGAAATAATCAGTGCCTGCTTTACCACCTAGCTTAGAAAAATCAAAATCTTTCTTCACATCTCCAGAAAAAAGAAAGCTCTGATCTTTTCCAACTACTTTTTCCATTATTCAGATTCCACTTCCAGTTGCTTTTTCTTTTTGTTTGTACTTGAAATTCAGACAAGTCAGTCATTACCCTTAATTTCTATACCATAAAGATAATCCAGGGTTGTCATTTCTCTCATACTAGCCAAATAACATAGAAAGTAGTCAAAGGAACAGCTTAAAATTTAACCATTGACTGATGTATTTATTCTCCTCCCAAACCAAGCTTAACCAAGTAACATAGAAAGTAGTCAAAGGGGCAACTTAAAATTTGACCTTTGACTGATATATTTCTTTTTCTCCTCACTCCCAAAACAAGCTTACAATTTAAAGATCATAAAGTAAAAGCATTCAATAAAAAAGCTACCAACAGGTAATCCTATGTTGACCAATAACCTAAAATCCTGTTCTTTCTGACAGAACCAAACCTCTTTTGTCAAGAACCTATTTTCATTACCAAATTCAGTGGCACCCATGAAGAGTTCTAAATGTTTCTAAAAGGAATAAGATAAATTAGTAGATGATAAACCAAAACCAAGGAACATTTAGATTGCACTTTTAAATATTATCTCATATACTACCCCCTTTCACATCAACATATAATGCATGTGCTACAACAAACATGTATTATAATTTATAATATACCTAACATGTGTGTAGCTATAAACGCTAGCTATTAAGACATCATGGAATCATGAAAGGCACTCACCCATTAAAAGTTTTAATTTAAGAAAAAATTTAAGATTTTAAAGTTTAGAACAAGGTATTAAAGTAAACGGACTTGTATTCAGTGATAAAACTCTAAGTTTTCCTTCTTTTCTCTATTTACCAATTTTTCACTAATTACTTTTATGACGGTAACAAACTTCATTAAAGACAAAATGGAAAAACTGCTGAAGTCACATTGTTAAAAATCTGCCTGCTGGTTGCCCTTGTGACCTTCCCTAATAAAATATCCATCACCTCCTCTCCAAGTAATTTTCAGTAATGCTCCTCCAAAGGTTTTTCCAAACTCCTATTCTACAGACACGGTCTAGAATATAAATATAGTAGACCTGGTACTGGCATAGTCGATGGCAGAAAAAGTATAATAATGATGTCTGGGTTTGATTCTGTTAAGGTCATTAATCTAACCGATGGTTTGGCACTGTATATACTTAAGAATTGCTATCACTGCCATTTATTAACCATTCTTCCTTCTTCCCCCTTGAGAAGTCCTCCTCATTCCCTACTACTTCTCTAAATCTGCTAATAATTCCCTTAGAAGTCTCTATAAATTTTTCCTGAACCTGACTAGCCAACCACAGCCCTCCACCCTCCTTTGAATTCTTGCTCCTATCCATCCTGCACATGTGCAACAAACTAGATCTACTGGTATTTGACATATACAACAATCTATTTTCTATATCCCATTATAAACTCCTTGAGGGTAAGGATCATATTCCTAAATCCTAGCACTATTAGAATGTCATACATGATAATGACATATACCACCTAGAGTGCTCTTGTTTTCTTTTACATACACTTGAATTTCACAACTACCCTGATAGGAATAATGGCTCCTACTATCCTATTTTACAAAAGGAGAAACAAATTCAGGGGCTAATTTGTCATGGTTCTGTTCAACTAATCCTAAAGATCTATTTATAGTACTAAGAATATGTAGCAAATATAAGAAACTCCCTGAAAAGAGGAGGTTTACAAATCTCCATAAGTGGCAAATCCATATAGTTTATTGTTGCCAGGAAAACCACCAAATTAGGGACCTCAAGTTCAACTCTAACTATGCAAAACCAACTGTCCTCGGAGTCCTTGATAAAGAAATTAAAAATTGCCAACATAGCAAATATGGCACTATGAGAACACTATCCTCAACTTCTTAAAGTATATAAAATTCTAATGGAATACAGTGGCTTCTGTTTAGTGCAAAAGGGGACATTTCAGCCTCAAACCACCATATTACAAAACTTGAAGTCGGAATGCATTTTGCAAGAGCCATGTGACACACACATGACGGTCAGCTAAACTGATGGGTGGACCTTTTAGGGGAAATGTTTAGCAGTAATTGACCAAAGGAACAAATACACTCAGCTTTTAAAACACTGATTTTTGCTTAAAATAAAATAAAATAAAATCCCTCTCTCCCCCAAAGCCTTCTGACGCTGAAGAGGAATACCAATTAAATCTCCTCCAATTATTCATTAATTTATATACGTAAAATGAAGGAGGATTTTAAAGGTCCATTAAGGAGAGCCCAACGAAGTCTTCCCAAGGTAAGTGAACACCAGTTCCCAGGAAAGGTGTCAGGGGTGTCACATATGCTGTGTTGACTTCTTGAGTAAGCAAGAAAAAGAAATGCATTAACTTTTCATGACACGTCATGGAACCTCACTCCCTATCTTCGAGCATTCAAGCAGGTAACCCAAAACCTACAGATCATAGAGCCCGTTCGTTTCTTTCAGCTTGACAGCAGTCTTCCTTTATTTTGATAATATCAGAAAAATGTTCCTACGTCTTAGGTCTGCTTATTTTTTTTTTCTCGACCTACAGAAGACAAAATGACTTCAGTGTCCTCTAAAAAAAATTCTCACAAATGCCCAGGTTTTCAGGAAGGCAAATGGGCCCCCTGAGTTCTTGAAGAACTCCAGGAAATAACTTAAAAAAAAAAAACAACACTAAAAATGTAACATCTCTTCTCACCATCTACTCATTCCCCTCAATCCCACGCAGTCCTGAAAAGCATCCATATTACCTGCAACCTGGCCGGGAGGGTGAAAGAATAGAGCGAACAAGCTCAAGATTTACGAGTAAAGCTGGTTTCCACCCAGACGATTCTGACAGCTCCGCAGAGTGCGGGCGCAGGGTCTGACAGTGCCCTCTAGGAGAGCTCTCCCACCCTAGCCTCTCCCCTTAAAAACAAGTCTTCCTTCAAAAGTCACTGCCTCCGCGTGAAGCTACCCCTTCCCACCGCCCGACCACCGACTCCCAAACGCCCCAACCCCCTCAAAAGACTGTTCCTCCGCACCGGCCGGGCACTCAAGGCCTCCAACCTGACCTGTCCAGGCCCGGGCGGCTCACCCCTCCGGCCCGACCCCTCCCCCCGGCCACCCCTCCTCCGTCAGACAATGGGGCCCGACTCCCGGCCGCCAGCATCTCCTGCTCTACCACCCTCACCTCACCGAGGCCCCCACCCCTGCCTCAGCCCTCCTCGCTCCCCTTAAGCTTTTCCAAGCTGGCCCACGGACCCAGGCGACCGGTGCTCTCCTGCACTCACTATTCGGGATTCATGCTGGACATGTCACTGCAGCTGCCGCCGCCGCCACCGCCGCCCTTGCTGCTGCAGCCGCCGCCCTGACTCTTCAAGCCACGGGTAATCGAGAGAGAGGAATGAGATACGCTGTTCCGGGAGAGCAAACGTCTTCCCCCACTCCGTCCCCTTAGAACACAATCAGCAGCCGCCGCCACTCAGCTATCGCTTCCACCCAAAATGGCCGCCGGCGAACCAGGAAATAGGAAAGCCTTAGACCGAGGGGTCTTTACACAGCCCGGAGGGCGGCCGCACCGCGCGGCACGCCGGGAAAGAGAGTTCGAACACCGCAGTGGGCGCCGAAGACCTACGGTACGACGGGGCAGCCGGGACTCAACTTCCCGCAAAGCTTCGCGCCTCTGGTGCATGCGTATTTGAGAGCTTGTCGCCCGCCCCATTCCCCGCTCTCTCACCTCCCCCTCTTGCCCCTCCCTGCTCCCCGCCCCGCTGACTCGCTGGCTAGGACTTCGCTCGGACTCCCCCTAGCGGATTGGCTAAGACCGAGCGGCCCTGGTGATGTCATCAGTGAGACGTGGCAGGCGGGCGAGTCAGCGCCCCAAGGGGGAGGGGGAGGGGAGGGACAGAGGGCGGTGTCGACCGCGGACTGAGGTTGGGCGGGGGGGGGGGGGGGGGTGATCTGGGGACTCCGAATGGTGAGGAGAGAGGGTTAGGAATCTGAGCGACTGCCTGAGAGCGGAGGCGGGGAAGGAAGGCAGGCTGGAGTATACGCCTGGCCGGTCCTTCCGCCTGTGCACCCTTGGCTGGCCGGACCAGCCTGAGGCTTGAGCTTTCCAGCTGATCTCAGTACGTCGGTGCTAAGGACGGAAGAGGAGTCGAGGGGCCTCTGTTGAGAGCTTCGGGTCGCTGGAGAACACGAAGCCGTTCTTCCAGTTCTCTTCCTTACTTACCCAACCCCACTGGATCTGGTCATCGTCCAGTGTTGGCCGCAGACACTACCATTTTCTTTTATCATTTTTTACCATTTCTTTTCCAGCTCTGCTCTGATCACCTCAGTGTGGATATTGCAGGAGCCTCCGAATGGAGGCTGCCTCTCTCTTCTCTGCCCCGGACCATTTGCACACATAGCCAGATTTATCTTCCTGAAAAAGCACTTCCATCATGATCCCACAGTTTTCAGTGGCTCCACTTTTCATGGACGCGATGCAGCCCAAAGTCAGCCAGAAATTCAAGGTCTTCCTGCCCTGGTCCCAGGCTTCAAGTTGAACTGTAATTTTAGTTATTTAATGCTGAGCTGTTCTGCAACATTGAAAAATAATAAGCGAGGGAAACATGCAATTCATCACTACATAGTGCCTAGAAACTCTGGGAGTAATATTAACAACATTTCTAAAACCTAATAGTCTTAACACTCTTTAATCAGCTCAGGAATTTAAATCTCCACTAAACTTTAACACATTATCTTGGGTTATTTAACTGCAAAGGGCATAGTATAATACATCGTCCAAAGTTTATCTTCCAACTTGTTCTAAGAACCAAGAAAATTATCTCTCAAGAGTGATTGCAAAATCCCTTTAAATTACCATGACACCATAATATAGAAAGAAGGCAGTTATTATTACCCACTTACTAAATATACTCCTTAACCCCCAAATTCTGCTTTTGTTGACAACCTCATCAAACAGCACACTAGAGTTCCTTCACATCATATTGGCTTCTGAAATGAACATGGTCACCACACCAGAAATACCCTGAATGGATCAATGATAGACATCAAAAAAAAAAAAAAAAAGTTTATTACTCTAGACTCTTGTCCCTTCTTGCTTACTGTGATTTCACAGAAGAAAAACTCAGAATCTCCAAAGAACTTATCCTGAACTAAAAAATAGTTTGTAACTTGTCTCTACCCTTAGGAGGTACACCCCTAAACTTCCTTTAATTATCTTTTTCCTTTCCCAACAAAGAGTTACCTCCTAATTACTTTTAACTTCAGTGAGAGAGTAGTTGTAAGAATTAAAATAAAACAGTACAAAGCATATAACACCATGACTTTGGGGCACTTAACATTACCTCTCTCCTTCCCTTAATTCCCCTGGAAATTTTAAGTGCATGTGCTATATACCAAGAACAGAACAGTTCATATCTCAGTTACGGTGGTGTAATATGTGAGGAGATCAGAGGCAGCTTAGCCTGGGAGTGGTGGGTGGTCCTTTCCTACCTGCTAGTACAACTTATGTCATTTACTTTAAGATTTCCTTCCCAAACTAGAGTGTCAGTTTTGCTGATTCAAACTTCACTATATAGGTGTTTAAGAGTAACTGTTTTTGTAGTTCAGATTAATAACTCAGAATAATTAATCAAACCAGCATGCACTCTGTTGGCTGCCCCATTGCCGAATCAGAATTCTCCTAGGGCTATTTGTCCATTTATTCTTTGGCTCATTCTTTTCTTCCTTTCTTTTTTCTTTCCTTCTTTCCTTTCTTCTGGTCTGCCCTTCTTCCTTTTCTTCCTTTTTTCATTTATCAAATATTTATGACCTGGTATGTAATAAGTGTGTTTGGAACTTGTGCTTGGAACCATAAGCAATACAAAGGTGAGTGATTACAGCTCTCAGTCTGCCAGGCCCATAGGGGAAAAGGCAAAAATACATTTAAATGATATGAGGTGTATAGAGACAAAAATCAGATCAGTGATTGCCAGGAACTAGGAATGGGAGGAGGGAATTGTCTACAAAGAGACACAATGGAACTTTTTGGTTTCACTAAAATATTCTATAACTTCATTGTGGTGATGGTTAGTTACTCAACTATATATTTTGTTTGTCAAAACCCATAGAACTATACATCTGAAAGGGGTGAATTTTGCTGTATATAAATTATACCTCAATTATGAACCCGACTTTCAAAAAATGGTATGAGCTGATATAGAGGAACGAAACCGTTCTAATTCAAACTATTAGGAATGCTTTCATGAAGGAGGTGATATCTGAATTAGGCCTTGAAAAAAATAAAATATTGGTCATTGACAGAAATGGGGAGAAGGGAGCCTTATATCCCAGAATGACAAAATAATGTGAGCATAACCCTAGAAGTGTGGATACACATGTATTTAAGGAACAGAGATCACAGGTTCCATGGTAGATAAGGTAGGAGATGTTTAGGTTAAGGTAAGGTAAGGGGGGCCCCAAATGCCTTCTAAGGAGTTTCAGCTTCGTTCAGTAGGTTGTGGAGAAAGCCAAGAAAAGTTCTGAGAAGGAAAGTGAGGTGATCAGCTCAGTGTTTTATGTATGTATGTATGTATGTATGTATGTATGTATATGTGTGTTGGTGTTTTAAAGGAGCCCTATGGAGTTCTGTGGAGACCGGAGGTAGGGAGATTAGTTAAAAGGTAATTAGATTGACTTAGGCAAGAGATGGTATGTCCTGACCTAGGGTAGTTGTATCCAGAATGGAAAGGAGGGAAGATTCCAGAGAGCAGGTTGTAGAACCTGAAGGTGTGGGGGAGGGGTGAGGGAGGGGGAACTAAAAGTGACCTAGACACATCCAGTTTACCTGCCAGCGTGGAAACCAAGGCCCCAGTTAAAGTCAGAGAACAGAAGAGAAAAGCCTTGAAGAGGGGTACAGGTGGAAGACTGTGCAGTTTGAGGGCAGAATTGAAGTTGCCCTGGTATGGAAGTACTAGAACGACCAGAAATTGTCCCCTTTCTGGATCAGCATGTGCACGCGTGCACACACACACACACACACACACAGAAGACTGTCAAAGACAAATCCAGAAAACCCTAAAGACTCCACCAATAACTACTAGAACTGAGAAATGAATTCAGTGAAGTCACAGGATCCAAAATCAATCTACAGAAATCTGTTGCATTCCTATACACCGATAATGAAGCAGCAGAAAGTGAAATTAAGAAAATAATCCCATCATGGAACACTACTTCAAAAACTAATGATGTAATGTATGGTGATTAACATAACAATAAAAAATTTAAAAGAATCCCATTTACCATTGCAGCAAAAACAGTAAAATACCTAGGAATAAACCTAACCAAAGAGGTGAAAGATCTATACTCTGAAAACCATAAAACACTGATGAATGAAATTCAAGACGACACAAAGAAATGTAAAGACATTCCATGCTCATGGGTTGGAAGAACAAATATAATTAAAATGTCTATACTATCCAAAGTTATCTTCAGATTTAATGCAATCCCTATCAAAATACCAATAGCATTTTTCACATAACTAAAAGAGCTCTAAATTTATATGAAACCACAAAAGACCCTGAATAGCCAAAGCAATCTTGAAAAAGAAAGGCAAAGCTGGAGGTATCACAATTTCAGACTTCAAGTTATATTACAAAGCAGTAGTAAATTTTTTTAAGATTTTATTTTTAAGTAATCTCTATATTCAACGTAGGGCTCAAACACACAACTCTGAGATCAACAGTTGCATACTGTTCTGACTGAGCCGGCATGTGCCCCACAAAGTGGTAGTAATTAAAACAGTATGGTTCTGGCATAAAAAGAAACACATAGATCAATGGAACAGAATAGAAAACCCAGAAATAAACCCACAATGATATGGTCAATTAATCTTCAACAAAGGAGGAATGAATATACAATGGGAAAAAGACAGTCTCTTCAAAAATGGTGTTGGGAAAACTGGACAGTGACATGCAAAAGAATGGAACTGGACCACTTTCTTTTACCATACACAAAAATAAACTCAAAATGGATTAAGGACCTAAATGTGAGAACTGAGACTATAAAAATCCTAGCAGAGAACACAGGCAGTAATTTCTCTGACATTGGCTGTAAGCAACATTTTCCTAGATATGTCTCCTGAGGCAAGGGAAACAAAAGCAAAAATAAACTTTTGGGACTACATCAAAATAAAAAGCTTCTGCACAGTAAGGGAAGCAAGCAACAAAACTAATAGACAACTTACTGAATGGGAGAAAATATTTGCAAATGATATATCCAATAAAGTGTTAGTATCCAAAATATATAAAGAACTGATACAACTCAACACCCAAAAAGAAATAATCCAATTAAAAAATGGACAGAATACATGAATAGACATTTCTCCAGAAAGACATCCAGATGGCCAAGAGACACATGAAAAGATGCTCAACATCACTCATCATCAGGGAAATGCAAATCAAAACCACAATGAGCTATTACCTCATATTCTGTCAGAATGGCTAAAATCAAAAACACAAGAAACAGTAAGTATCAGCAAGG